TGGCCAAGCACAGGCTGCTGGTGCTGGTCAAGGACAATGGCGAGCCCGCGCTGTCTGCCAGCGTCACGCTGCACGTGCTGCTGGTGGATGGCTTCTCGCAGCCCTACCTGCCGCTGCCGGAAGTGGCGGCCGACCAGGCGCAGGCCGACCCGCTGACCGTGTACCTGGTCATCGCGTTGGCGTCGGTGTCGTCGCTGTTCCTGTTCTCGGTGCTGGCGTTCATCGCGGTGCGGCTGTGCAGGCGGAGCAGGGCCGCCTGGGTGGGTGGCTGCTCGGTGCCTGAGGGCCACTTTCCGGGCCACCTGGTGGACGTCAGCGGCACAGGGACCCTGTCCCAGAGCTACCAGTATGAGGTGTGTCTCACCGGAGTCTCCGGATCAAATGAGTTCAAATTCTTGAAGCCTATTATCCCTAACCTCCTACCCCAAGGCGCTAATGAAGAAATAGAGGAAAATGCCACCTTCCAGAATAACTTCGGATTCAATTAGGAATCGAATCATGATGCAGTGTCTTTTGTAAGATCTTTAGTTCCTCCAGGTACAGAGTTTGAGAGCGTAATGGACAAAAATCCTAACTTTAAGTATAGCCTGGATTTTCCTTTTGGGTGTCAGTGGCATCCCCATTATGAGGTGTGTCTGAACAGAAGCTTAGGAGTTATCGAGTTCATGTTCCTCAAACCAACTGTCGGCAAGTTTATGTGTGAATGGGGCTGGTAGGGACACCGAGGAAAACTCTAACTTTACAAATAATTTTGAGTTCAATCAGGAATCTCATCTTGACAAGACCTGATAAATGATAATATACATTCGGGTATTTCCCAACCCTTGCATTCACAGAAGGGCTTACATATTCACACATTCATAATTATTGCCATATTTATAGTTATTGCAACCTGTTGAAGTATTTCATATTCTGAATCTCTAGGTGTTTTTGTTGTTTTATCAGGTTTTCTCCCTCACATTTTGCATGATCCTACAATAGCAGAGCACTGGTGTTTCTCAGGATTTCGGGGTAAGATTTTTGAAGTTATCAATGTTTTCAGATTCCTGATATTTTAGCTTGTTCACTGATATATTGTTATGATTACGAGAATTGTGTTTAATGATTATCATCAGCATGAGTCTAACTAATGTAAATGATGGCTTTTAGTTTTAAAAATAATTTTCATTTATGCAAAAATTACTGTGACCTTGTAAATTATTTGATTCCTGTAATGTTGTTTCAAAAACACTGCCGTAGATTTTCAAATGAACTAATATTTTAGCTGGATGTTTTCTAAGTTGAGTATTTTCTTTCAAAATTGAGAGCATGTAGTTAGACCACCTGCTATAATTTTAAATGATTCAATTCCTGTTAAATAGAAAAAAGTAGAAAAATATTGGTAGACTTATGATTACCTTTTTATAATAAATGGTTTTGAGTATGTAAATGATTCTCATTCTTTTAATATACACATGATTCAAATATATTCAATAAGAAAGAAGAAAGCAAATTAACATCATTATGCCAGCACTCAAAAGCAGTTATTAATATTAAGTCAACATCATTCTAAAAATATTTCTATGATTTAATATAAGTTAATAGATGGAAACAATATTGTAAACTGGACCTATAATGCATGGCTAGCTCTGTAATGAAAACTATCAGATTTTATTTGCATATAATGAGACTGTAGAACTCATTATATGAAACTATAGAACTTGCTTGAGCTTAATTAAATAATCCCTATAAGGTTAAAAACAATATTAATATATTAACATAATTTAACTGCCTGCTTTAAAATGAGCAAGTCAAACCTTACACTTTTACCCTCTTCTCACCTTACTTTAGACTTTTTATTATACTAGTATATATGCATATAATATATAAAATGTATATTAAAAGGGTAATTCTCATAATTGTTTAGACATTTTATGCTGTAGACATTTAATTTGTTATATGGTGCTACAAACTTGTCAATATTACTCAAGTCTGTACAGTTGTAACACCTTTTGAAGCATTTTACTGTGTTTCCATGATATTTACTTCCATATTTCTAAATAATATGCTTATAAAATGCTTTCATTCAAATTTTAGATATTATCCATTTACTTTTCTTTAGGGGCATGTGCACACACACACATATACTTGCACATTTTTTCTACCCATTCCTCTCTCATAGCAATATTATATAAAATTCTGTTTTAATAGTGTTTATATAATTATGACTATGGAAATATCGCTTACAATTGAACCTCATGATGTACTGATATTTTGTTTCTTTTCTTTGCCTCATTTTTGCTTTACTTTTCAATGTACAAATTTTTAACTTATCCCTATACTTTCTAAAGTCTAAAACTCCTCATTGTATTATTAAACTCACCAAGAAATCTCTCCAGTTCCATTATTTTTTCTTGGAGCCATCCTGGAGCTATCCAGACTCCTGCTCAATTGTATATTATTTGCTCTGTAGACCTGTTGTATAGCTGGCAGTTTGGAACTTGCTTTATCCATCATTCTGGGAATTTCTTTTGTCTCCTGAATTTAATTTCATTTTCTGGACTTTATGTCTTCCTCCTTTTTGGTTTACTGCCTTGAGTTCTGAAGACTATTTGGTAATACATTTATTAATTTTTTGAACATGTGAAAATTTCAGATGTTAGAAAATCAAATTTTTATTTTGTTTGGTATAGAATTTTAAGTTAGGAATTATTTGCTGCTAGTATTTTGAAGGCATTCCTTGACTTGTCTCTCTGCTGTTTACTTTTCTCCCATTTGTTTTGTTTTTATGGGTCCATTTATTTTAAATTTTTGCTCTCTATTGCTTAGATGAGGTTTCAGGAGGGAATTGAGATAAATTGGTGTGCCCAAACAGGAATGAGATGCAGTCTTCACTGTTATTTTATCCCAGCTTTCCCAGACCTCAGTCATTTCTATTTTTTCATCCTTTGGTTTGCTGTATTTCATCAGATGTAGTTCTTTAAAGAAGAGAGAGAGAGAGAGAGAGAGAGAGAGAGAGAGAGAGAGAGAGAGAGAGAGAGAGATATGAGGGAGGAGACTGGTTGCCTTCCATACACTCCCGATCAGAGGATAGAACCCAGGGCAACCTGGGTATGTGCCCTGACCCAGAATCAAACCTTCCACCTTTTGGTCTATGGGGCATGCTCCAACGAACTGAGCCACACCAGCAGGGCTACATGCTGTATGTCTTAAATTCTCACATACTTGAGAAGTACAATTTTTAAAAAAAATATATTTTATTGATTTTTTACAGAGAGGAAGGGAGAGGGATAAAGAGATAGAAACATTGATGAGAGAGAAACATCAATCAGCTGCCTCCTGCACACCTCCTACTGGGGATGTGCCCACAACCAAGGTACATGCCCTTGACCGGAATCGAACCTGGGACCCTTCAGTCCGTAGGCCGACGCTCTATCCACTGAGCCAAACTGGTTAGGGCAAGAAGTATAATTTTTCTGGGCATAAAATTTTTTAGTCAACTTTCTTTTCCTCATAGATTTGTTGACATCAAATATTACATTAGTCATTTCATCATAGTTTCTCTATATTTTTCTATAAGTAGGCTACATTTCATTCTTAAGTAGTTCTTTTCAATAAGCTCTCATGAATGCTAAAGAAATGTTTTATGATTTTTTCCCCATTTGCTGCATTGTTTTCTTTATATTTGACCAACATCTTAGCTAGGTATAAAATTATTGAGCCATAATTTCTTTCCTTCAGAACCTGGTAGAGATTTCCATTGTATTCTAGTATTAAATGTTGATGAGGATTAAGTTTGAAGCCTATTTTCATTACCTATAGGTTACTTATTTTCTATTTTTAAACTTCATTGTCTTTCTCAGGTTATGTCTTGATTTTGATAATTTTGTATCACTTTTTTTCCTGGAACTCAGTGTATCCTTTCAATCTGTTTCACACAGGTATTTTCAAGTATGTCATTTGTTTATTTATATCTACTATATATAACTAATTTCTAAATCTGATACTTCCAATATGTGAAGTTTGTGTGGGTCAATTTTTGCTGCATTGTTTCTGATTCTTCTTATTCATGTTGTCTTTATTTTTTGTGACTTATATGGTTGATTACCCTTAAATATTTATTTGTAGGGTGTCCTCAAAACCTAGGCTGTATGGTCCAGATTTTCAGTAGTTTCAGCCAGGATTCTAGAAACACTATCAGTAGGGGACCACCACAAACTAAATTTATGGTTTGAGGTTCCTTGAAACTCAATTTATGAATATTCAAAATACAAACACACATGAGGACCAAACCTAGGCACAAATTCCCAGGCATGGTTTCTTTTCTTTTTCTTCTGCTCTAGTTAACACCAGGGATCCTTCTATATAATTCCCTGGAGTTGGAGGAAGGGGTCAGGTTTAGATTTGTTGGTGTTATACTGCTTTTATATTGTTGGTGTAGCCCTGTGGGGCCCTTTAAAATGGGGAGGGTCTTCCCATAATATGCTGCACCTTTGGTTGGCCTTGGTTTATATTTCTTTAACTCCAAATAGCTTCAGGTCAAAGCTTGATAGCAAATATTTTCAAAAGCTCTGTGGGCTTATAATAAGTTTTGTTATCCTGACACACTGTTTACCCCATATTACAGGCTTTCATAAAAAAATGGGCACCCTCACCAAGTGGTTCAGTTGGTTGGAGAATCATCCCATACACCAAAAGGGTTGTGGGTTTGATTCATGGCACATACCTAGGATGCTGGTGATCCCCATGAGGTTCAGGGTGCATATGTGAGTTTTGCACCTCTCTCTCTCTCTCTAAAATCAACAAACATATCCTTGGTTCAGGATTTTTTTTAAAGTTTTAAAAGGAAATAGAATAGATACAGATACTATACATGCTTGGGAAGCATCATTGATTCAAAGGGTCTTATCCCAGCCAGTGAATTTATTACTTTATTGCTTTGAGGGCTAAGCTTTCAGTAAAAAAAGAACTCTTTTGGCTACAAAACACACCACCAATATGAAGAAATAAAATCGTATGCTCTGCTAATAACTAATTAAATCAATTTATTTGACCCTATCTGTTTCTACTGGCAATGGGAGCTACAGGTGTGATCTGAGTGGGTATGATATATGCTACTAATTTTACTCAAATATATGTCTCCTCTCCTTATTTATTACTAATATACCTCCAATGTTTTAGCTGCCCATGTGGATATGTGTGTTATAGATTATATTTCCCAACCACTGTTGTGAGTGGGAGTGGTCTTGTAACTAAGTTACAGCCAGAGAGCGATACTAACCCCTAGTGCCATGGAATACTTCATGAAAGTAGTCTTTAAAAAGGAAGGTGCAGTCTTTTCTTTCTCCTATTTGTTAGTCTGAATAGAAATTTAATGGCTGGATATTAGACAGTTATCTTGGACTATGAGGTGAAGGCCATGTTCTGAAGATGGTAAAGCAACAAGATGGAACAAGACTGGGTCCCAGATATCATGGAGCGCAATTCAGCCACTAGTTTTCTTTTATGAGAGAAAAATAAAATTCTATATCGTGTAAGCTATTGTTGTTATGGGCTTGTCTATAGCTTCAGGCTGAAATTATATAGAACATATTCATATGTAGAAATTACATAGAATGTAATTCTAGCTGATATAGTAAGCTTTTAAGAAAGTGATATTTAAGCTAAGAACCAAAGAGTGAATAGAGAAATTGTGAGACTTACATGCATATTTTAGAAATCAAGGTTTATTGAGAATAGGCAAAGCAAACAACTAAAGATTTAAGAATAAACTGCCTGCTATTAATAACAGGTGAGAAAAGAAGTTATTGCATCTAAGAAATAAGTACAGAAAGAGGGCCCTTGTAAAGTATGAATGTAATAAATGGAAGTTTTAATAGAAGGGCTTGAAGACAGAATTAAGAAAATATCCCAGGTAATATTGCAAAAGTATTTAAAAATATCAAACAGGAGAGGAAAAAAACACACACAAAAATAAGAGTCCATAGCAGAGGTCCAACATCTGAATTGTAGTAATTCCAAAAAAAAAAAAAAAGGAGCAGAAGAATTTCAATGAAGTAATTCAAGAAAATGTCTAAGAGCTGTAGGAAATTAGTTTCCTAGTTGAAAGAGTTTACCAATTTTTCTGTACAATGGATGAAAATAAGCTCAAACCAAGACACATCAGTGTTAAATTTGGACAGTGACAAGATACTACAACAAGAAATAAAAATACAGGACACATATAGAAGATATAAAATACCATTCACTTTCGACTTCTTAACAAAGACATTGATTTAATAAGGGGCTCATTGACAAAATATTTTTAAATTATGAAAATTATTTTCAACCTAAAACTCTATAATCAGTCAAACTTCCAATCAAGTTTGAGGGTAAAGTTAAAATAATTTAATACACTTAAGGTCACAACATAATTTAACTCTCATCTACCATTCTCTACTGGAAGATATTAAAATGAATGGGTAATCTAAGAGAGAGGAAGTCTGAAGAAATAGAAAGAGGATCAAAAACAGAATAGAGGTGAAATGAATCTCTAGGTGATGTTGAAGGATGATCCCAAGATGACAGTTCTGTATCAAATATAGACTAGTCCAGGTTGGATGTGTCTGAGACAGGCATTTTGAAGGATATCATCAAGTCCCCTGGCACATATTAATTAGATGAAACTATTGGATGATGTGATCTATTAAAGCTACCAAATAAACAAACAAACTAAAGAAGAAGAAATAAAATCCTAGAAAAAGGAGATCCAACCAGAATAAAAGGCAAAGAAAAATTCCAAGAATGATAACAAAGGGAAATCCCAGAGTGATAGCTGTGCAGCAGATGTAGATACCACCCACCCAATTTAAGGGGAAATTCATATTTTGGGAAATATTGGAATGACCATGTGCAAATTGTACTGAGAGGCAGTTAGAAGTGTGGGAAGAATACATTATATATATAAAGAAAACCAAGTAAATGAAAAAGCAAAGCAATTGTTAACCTCAAGAAAAAAGTGAGAAAAAATATAATTAAGACACAGCAATGCTCTTATAATGATACTGAGAGTGAAAGAAGACATTAAAGTTCCTTGAAAGTGTATAAGAGCTAAAACAGAACCCAACATAATAGAGTCAACTGATAATGTTTAAAATGAATTAATCAAAATATAGCAGAATACAGATTAGTAGGACAAGAAATAACTAAAAGTTAAAATTGGCTGCCTATTGGAAACAGAACAGGAAAGTGAGGAGGAAAGGGGCAGAAAACTATTGTATTTTATTATACGCCTCTTAGTACTATTAGATTTTTGAACCAAGGTTATGTATTATTTTGAAGAAGTGAGTTTTAAAAGATAAGTAAATAGATACCTTGAAACTCTCCCTATGAATAAAAATGAGATAAAATACTAAACATTACTAATAAGAATAGGGATATATCTAAAGATAAATAACATAATGAAGCATAATAAATTTAAGTGGTTTTTAAATGAATGGTTTTAAAAATAAAATACAAATTACTTTTAAAGAAAACAAAGCCTGTATAGAGTAATAACCAAAGTAAAATGGAAAAGAGTCAAATCTACCATGAGTGAACCCACCAAACCCAACCCATTTAAGGGCAAGTTGTAATTAAGCATGTAGAAACAGATGGTATGAATATAAAAACTAATCTGTTGCAAAAAATGGAGGGAAATCTTCCATACCCATTCTATAAGGCTGAATATTTTAACACCAAAACCACAGATGTTAAACACACACTCATGCGTATACAGGACAACATGGGCCAGAAAAATCCTAAAACACTGTTGACACATCAAATTCATGTTTGCACGAAAGCAATAATATGTCATGGATAACTGTCTTTATATCAAGAACTCAAGAATTAAAAAGCTAAAGAATAAAGGTACAATTTCAACACATGTCAAAAATTACTTTAAAATATGAAACCATAAAGAAAAAGAAGAAAACTTTCTTGATCGAACAAGGAGCATTTACCCCAAGTAGAGATCAACCATCATAGCTAAAATTGAAATAATAGGAGCACTTTCACAAAAGTAAGAATGAACTACTTGCTATTGTTAATTTGAAGAGTATTCATTGCATATCCTTGGAGATGCTGGCCATTGAAATTATATGTGAACAATAATTTAAATTATATTATTACTTAAAGTGGGTGAAGGGTGAAGGTTGGGGTACAGAATGTGTTCCAGAAAATATCCTGGGTAAAGAGTAAAACCAAAAAGGATTATTGAATTCACAAAAAACTGGAAAAAAGGCCCGTTACTCTGCAGTATGAACAGCACCACTGTTAAGCAGTTAACAAATAAAGGTTGACTTTTTGATGAATTCTTCATTTTCGTATATAATCTTTACTATCAGTTTTAAAAGCAGGAGAAGGTTTTTTTAGGATCTACTCCTGATGAGAATTCAGAGTTTAATTTCATGCCCCCAGATTAAGAAAAACATTTATTTTTTTCTATGAATTCAGATTATAAGAGGGGAGGACGATTAAGCACTTGCTAGCATTACTGTGACCATTTGAGGAAAACGATGGAATGAAGCAGCAAAGACCCTGGGGAACATACTCCTGCTGGTCTTTTAACCCGCCATCTTTTTGCTCTATTCTTGAAAACGGGAATAACGTCCACAAAACGCAAGGTGGCGCTGCTGGCTAAAAAGAGACAGAGGAAAAATACTCGCTTAAAAGGGTGTTGCAGATTCCATTGTTAATAGAAAATCTGGCCAGTCAGAAAGGAAGAGGAAAGGACACCGTGGTAACAGGAGCTGGGGGAAGTGGGGATCCCTTCCCACACGCATTGCTATTAGAAGCTCATTTCTAAGGATTCCGTTGCTGCCATTCTGAAAGCTGCTTGGGGCTGAGTGACAGTGGTTTTGAAAGACTGATTAAAAGAAGAATGGAGGCCAGAGTGGAGCGTGCGGTGCAGAAAAGGCAAGTCCTACTTCTTTGTGTGTTTCTGGGAGTGTCTTGGGCTGGTGCTGAACCGCTTCGGTATTTTGTGGCGGAGGAAACCGAGAGAGGCACCTTTCTGGCCAACCTAGCACACGACCTGGGGTTGGGGGTGGGGGAACTTTCAGCTCGGGGATCTAGGATCGTTTCAGATCAGAACATGCAATTTTTACTACTCAGTCCGCTTACTGGTGATTTACTTCTAAATGAGAAATTAGACCGAGAGGAACTGTGCGGCTCCACAGAGCCCTGCGCGCTGCCTTTCCAGTTGTTACTGGAAAAGCCTTTGCAGATTTTCCGTGCTGAACTATGGGTCAGAGACATCAACGATCATTCTCCAGTGTTTCTAGATAGAGAGATTCCCTTGAAAATATTAGAAAGCACCACCCCAGGGGCGGCATTTCTCCTAGAAAGGGCGCAGGATTCAGATGTTGGAACCAACAACTTGAGAAACTATACCATCAGCGCCAATGCCTATTTCCATGTTAATGTGCATGATAATGGGGAGGGGACTATCTATCCGGAATTAGTACTGGACCGAGTGCTAGATCGAGAGGAGGTGCCTGAGCTCAGTTTAACCCTCACCGCCTTGGACGGCGGCTCTCCGCCCAGATCCGGGACCGCCCTCGTGCGCATCCAGGTGGTGGACATAAATGACAACGTCCCTGAGTTTGTACAGTCGCTCTACAAGGTGCAGGTGCCAGAGAACAGCCCTGTTGGCTCCCTGGTTGTCTCCGTGTCAGCTAGAGATTTAGACACCGGAAGTTATGGGGAAATAGTCTATGCATTTTTTTATGCCACTGAAAGAATTCTCAAAACGTTTCAAATCAATTCAACATCTGGCAATCTTCATCTTAAAGCCGAATTAAACTATGAGGAAATGCAAACTTACACACTAACTATTCAGGCCAAGGATGGTGGAGGGCTTTCTGGAAAATGTACCGTGGTGGTCCACGTAACAGACATCAATGATAACGCACCGGAACTACTCATGTCATCACTTACAAGCTCCATTGCAGAAAACTCAGCCGAGACTATTGTGGCTGTTTTTAGAATTAGAGACAAAGATTCAGGTAACAATGCAAAGATGGTGTGCTCCATCCAAGAGGATCTCCCCTTCGTCCTGAAGCCATCAGTAGAAAATTTCTACACCCTGGTAACAGAGAGACCGCTGGACAGAGAGATGAGAGAGGAGTATAATATCACCATCACCGTCACCGACTTGGGGACCCCCAGACTGGGAGAGCAGAGCAGAATACAACATCACCATCACTGTGACTGACTTGGGGACCCCAAGACTGAAAACCCAGCACAACATAACCGTGTCGGTGTCTGATGTCAACGACAACGCCCCCGCCTTCACCCAAACCTCCTACACCCTGTTCCTCCGCGAGAACAACAGCCCCGCCCTGCACATCGGCAGCGTCAGCGCCACAGACAGAGACGCGGGCGCCAACGCCCAGCTCACCTACTCGCTGCTGCCGCCCCACGACCCGCAGCTGCCCCTGGCCTCGCTGGTGTCCATCAACGCGGACAACGGCCACCTGTTCGCCCTGAGGGCGCTGGACTTCGAGGCGCTGCAGGCGTTCGAGTTCCGCGTGGGCGCCACG